GCTGTGTTCATCCAGCTCTACACCTTGTTATCTCATAAAAGTCTGAGGGGAGCTTGAGATGGTAGATGCTGAGAGGATGTTCCACCCAAAAACTAGGGGACAGAGTTTAGAAATGAGAGTTCAGAAATGAGAGTTCATAAACAAGTCATAATTTATGACTTAGATATGGAGAAATTTCCTCTTTCGAGGGTTATTAATTTTTTTGAAATTCTCTTCCAAAAGCAATGGCATCTAGGTCACTGAATGCATTCAAAGCTGAGTTAGGCAGATTTCTGATCCACAAGGGTGTTGAGGATTATGGAGAAGAAGGCAGGAACGAGGAGATAAGGCAACAGCCACAATCTCACTGAATTACGAATCAAGCTCGGTGGGTGAATGGCACACTCCTGCTCCTTTTTCTTATGATTCCACCAAAAGCACACATTTAAAACTGCAAGATCTACATTCACATAACAGCTACAGGTTTGCAATAATATTCAATCCGAAATAAGAATAATGCAGGAACTAAGTAGGATGTCTGGCAGTATCTGACGAAAAAAGAACAATAGTTAACATTTCAGGTCTACAGGCTTTCATCAGAATTAATTCCAATGCATGCTTTTGAGAAAATAAAGGTAGATAATTCAAGGAAAAACAGATAAGTGGTGTTATTGTAAAGTGTATGACCTTTATTTTGTTCCAACCACTTACCTTTAGACATTTCAATTACAGGTAAAAAAAAACTGCTTCAAAAGATATTCAATGGTACATTTTTATTGTAGATTTTCAACACAATTCAATGTTTTCCTCAATTTTCAGTTGTTTGTAACAAGTGCAAAATGTTCTAAAATGTTAACTTGAATGATGAAGTGCTGTTCCTCATAACTTAGGAGAACTATACTGGATCAGAGTGTAAGGACAGGGAACTCAAATGCCAAGTGATCGGAAGCTCAGGCAGAAGGTACGAGGTGTAAGTGTTTCATTTCCTCTACCTATGCAGGATGGTGACATGGAAAAGGAACAAAAGTGTTCCTGAGGATGATGGAAGAGTGGACCAGGTTTCCATTGGAGAATGGTACCTTTTGAATGCTAAATATGGGCTGTCAAGGCTCTTCACCATTTCTGACATTTCTTTGATTTTTAACTCCCTCCCAGAACCTTGTCCTCATCTTAATCCAACTAGCCTCCACAAACAACAGATCACCTCACTTGGAGTGTAATGGCAATGTTCAGCACATCATATCTCTGTGAACCATCTTTTTCTTTTTGACCTGCTCATTTGTCCTGCACCTATTATCCCTATTGTAATTTAGGGCACTCCTTCCATTCAACACAATCACAAAATTTACCCTTTGGTTCTATCTTTCCCTTTCCCTGTCTTTTACTTGCTTAGAGCCTATTACATCAATAGCTTTTTGCCAGTTCTGACATTCTTAGATTAATTATGTTTCTTGTTCCACTATTGCCAAGTAGAACACGTCATTTTCAGTATGTTATACAGTAAGCTAGTGTTTATTTTGAACCATTGCATATTCAAGCTTTCTAAATATCAAGTTGCTTTTGCATTTTGAAGTCAAGAGATTCAACAGCTATTGTGCAGCTGAGATTTCTTTGTATGGTCCACATGGAGAGTAGGACTTCTGACGATAAGATCAAACACCGAGCCAATGCACCGTACACAATAAACTAAGAAAACAAACTCCTTAATGTGAGTAACAAATTGGACATTCTTGAGAAGTTAATCAGTAAAAGCAGCGAAGTATTTGCTTGCTGGTGTATTTTTCATGAAAATAGATTAAATTAGGTGTGCTACAGCTGGTCTCTCACCCTTCAAAGGAACAGGAGCAGACCGTTCATTTCCTTGAGCCTCCCACCATTCAATGAGATCATGGCTGATCTATGGCCTCACTCCATACCATTGTCTTTAGCCCATATCCTTTAATAGTTATGCTTAATAAAAAATTATCGTCCTCAGATTTAAAATTAACAGCTGATCTAGCATCAACTCCCATTTGTGGAAAAGAATTCCAAACATCTACCACTCTTTCGGTGTACAAGTGCTTTCTAACATCTCTAATGCAATGTCTGGCCTTAATTTTTCGATCATGCAACCTAGTTCTAGAATCCCCATCCAGCAGAAATAGCTTCTTTGTCTACCTGTCTTTTCACTTAATATCTTGAAGACTTTGATTAGATCACCCCTTAACCGTCTAAATTATGAAGAAAACAGGTCTAATTTTGTATGATCTCCCTTCATAATTTAACATCAGAAATCAAGGCGTCATTCTTGCAAATATATATCGTACTCCCTCCAAGGCCTATAAATCCTTCCTAAAGTATGGTGCCAGCATCTGCTCACAGTGTTCCAAGTGGAGAAATTCACCAAAGATCTTTAGACAGCACTTTCCAACTTACGACCACTTCCATCTTGATATGCAAGGACAGCAGATACATGGGAACACCAGCATGCCTGACTTGGAAACACAGCATAGTTCCTTCATTGTTGCAGTCAATTTATTCTCAAAGACATTGTGGGTCAATCTACAGAAAGTGGACTGCAGGAGTTCGAGAAAACAGCTCACCCACTACCTTCTCAAGAGCAACTTTGGACAGGCAATAAATCCTGGCCAGCCACCAACATCCATCTCCTAAGAGTGAATAAGAAAAAAAGCATAAAGGCACTAAAGAAATTCCAACAACGATGTCTCCACCACACTCTTCAGATTCAGTGTCAGGATCATGAAAGAAAAACTAGTGTGCTCCTTGAAATCAGCTCCATAAACATTCAGGAACTGCAAAATTAACTTTGATGAACTGCACACCATTCAAATGGCCAAAAAACATATACCCCACCTTGGTCCTGTTCTTTAACTCTTAAATGGACAACTCACACAGTTCCAAAGATCACTCTGAAATGCTCCTTCAAGTGTCACTGCATTAACATTACTGCTCCCAATTATTCAGAAAGTTAACGCCTTCTACATCAAGCTACATCACGCATCAAGTCCCAAAGCCTTAAGGAAGCAGAACGAAATGGATATATTCTGTTCCTTATTTCTAGGACAACCTGTGGGAGATTGATCCTGGGAGTTTCCAAGGCATGTTCGAGCGATTCGAAAAGGACTTGAAGTGAGGGATTTGTGATTTCTGAAGAAGGGTCTAGAACCGAAACGTCAGCCTTCCTGCTCCTCTGATGCTGCTTGGCCTGCTGTGTTCATCCAGCTCTACACCTTGTTCTCTCAGATTCTCCAGCATCGGCAGTTCCTACTATCTCTGAAGTGAGGGAGTTGGTCATTAAAGAGCTGGTAACGTTGTGACTCAACGAGATAACCTGTAAACTTTAGATGATATTAGATCTCCTACCCCTGTTCTAATGTCGTCTCATAAGAATTATTGTTTGTGAAATAAAGTTGTAGATGTAAAGAAATTTGGACATCCACGCAATATCGCTTTGTGTGGATGCTTTCGTCTTCACTCCGAGTCCGAAGAGAGTTGTTTTGCCTGTTGTCAAATCAAACATCCTACTCTCTCCATCGACTTTCCCCACTGCCATTTTGCCCTCCTCCTTTCGGCCGCTATGACTCTCGGGAAGTATAGGCCGGGGAACAGGGCGGGGTAGGGGGAACTACAATCCCCGTCGGGCCCCGCGTCCAAGGGGTGACACGCGACTTCCGGTGCCCGGAAGACCTTCCGGCCATCTCCTCCATCTCGCTGTCTGGGTGGAACTCAGTCGGCGATGTGCCCGGGGATTATGGGAAAGATAGTCCAGGCGTCCATAGCGGATAGTGGGCGCCAATGGTGGAAGGTACTACATCCCCCAGCGGCGCCCGCCTAGCCGCCCATGCGCAGTGGGGGCAAGGTTGATGTTGGGGGCCGTGGCCTGTCGGGCGGAGCTGCTCCCGGAGTCACGAGTGATTTTGCTGTTGGTTTCTTCCCTCACAGTTGTGTGTTTTGTTTTTATTTTGTGTACCTCCCGACATTAATTTACTATTTCTGTGAAAGTTTAATTTCCGTTTTTGCGATCCCTGCGTTGGTTTTTTTTGGGCATTTTTTTAAATTAAAAAAAGCATGAGCGATAACGATGACATCGAGGTCGAAAGCGACGTAAGTCTCGCCTGGTGCCTTCTATTATTGTTATTTTTGTTTCGAAATTTTGCTTGATTTTTCAGTTTCGTTTGTGTTTCGAAAATAATAATAAAACGTTTTTAACGTGTTGGGAGTTGTTTCCACCTGATTGTGAAAAAAAAATAATTTTTCCCCCTTTTCTCTGTAGTTACGGATTTCCCCCCCTTTCTCTCTCTCTGTCGATTTTTTTTTTGTAAAGCGCCAACTCTCCGGCTGTGTGATCATTTTGTGCACTTGTCTGTTTTTCAGGAAGAACAGCCGAGGTTTCAGACAGCGGTACGTAACGGAGGATTAACATAGACCCCGTCTCGTCGCCTTGATTTTTCTTTAAAAATAAAACTTATTTATATACTTAAATAATTTTTAAACTTATTTTACCATCCCCCTAAACGTAATTTACTTCGTGTAACAAAAAAACAAATCAAATTACTCTTAAAAGCCTGGATTATTATTTTTAACCTGATAATTGCTGGGGATGTGGCTTCAAGCTGCTGTCCCAGTAGCCTCCCTCTTTTATTTGGATTATCTATTCAGAATATTATTGCAACCTTTAGTTTAAAGTAAGATGTCCCGAAACTTAACTTACTCCTGATGTTTGTATCTTTGTAAAAAAAAGATCAACTCCCGCCCGTAGCCTGAGTCTGGTCAAATGGCCAGCTCAAGGCGTTTAGAGCTTGAGTGATAGATAGTGTCTAGGTTAGAGACATTACAAAAGGCCCAGTAGCCTATCGTGCAAAATACCCCTTAATGTGGTTCCTTAACCCTCGCTGTCTTAGGAATTCTTCTCCTCCATCTCTTGCTTGCCGATTTTCTATCTTCGTTTCACTTTTGGAGATTTTCATTCCCTCCCCTTTCCCAGTGCAATGTTTTTAAAAACAATTCATTTTGCCCACAAGCCTCAGCGCGTCCCATTTACATCCATTCCACTCTTGTACTGAAGCCAAACAAATAGATTCGCTCGAAATCGCTGGCATATTAGTTTTTTGTTCCAGTATGTTTTTATCCCTCTTCTTTTCCCCTGATTCACCCAACCTTCGCTTTTCGCGTGAAAGTGTGTCCGACCCATCGGAAACTTGCACTAATGGGAGCAGTTAACAAATTCGTCGTGACGCTGTTTTTCTCCCTCCCTTCCTCTTTTGTAGATGTGTAAACGTGTTTGATACAGCGGCTTCGGACGACCGGCTGCTGAAAGCAATTCTTATTCGTCGTTTTCGAGAAACTTTTTTTTCCCTCTCTCCACGTATCAATAACAAAATGTAAATAGTTAAGATACTTGTACGGTTTTTTTTTGGTGGTATGGCATAACACAAAATGGACTCCAGGAAGTGTGTGTGTAATCTTTGATCAGGTAGAATGATGCCTTTAAAAAGCTAACTGAATATTTAGTTATAAACATGATGATCCCAGTTTATGTGCCGTATTTAAATATTAAAAATAAATTGAAAGAATAAGTTTAGGATCCCGTGAGAAATCTTACTTTTTTGTGATGTGTATCATAATCTCTATCACATTCACATAGGTCAGCTGTACTGCCTTATGATGAGCAGTCAGGATGCCAAATACTCCACTGGTGGGCTGAAACCCTAATGTTTAGTTGACATTTAGATTCTTAGGCCCAGACATTTGTTTATTTACTATCCATCATTAGGCACCTAGAATGTATTGCCTCAATAGGTGATACTTAGATTCTTTTATTTATGTCTCCTGTGAAGTAAGCACAGAGCAACAATGGCCCTGAAAGTTGTGGAGGAATCTGTGACCTATTTGACTGACCTCCAACATTTAGTGTTGAGGTGAGACTTTTTAACAGAATGATGACACAAATATTACCAATTATTACGTTGACCACAATTGAGTTACCTTCTTCTTAATTGAAACCAACATTCAGTAAAGAAAAAATAGGCACGTAGTTCTTGACCTGTGCAAGATAAATGAGAATGAGCCTTACAGATGTTATGAATGATATTACTGAGATAGAATGATTATTGGGGACTATATGTATTCAGCAATTTATGTTCTTATGCTTGTAGGTATCCTAGCTGTGCAGGTTTTGGAGGGAAGCACTGCAGGGGCACTAAATCTAATGTATTTGTGTTGCTGTTGCACCAGTCAGGTTTAGTACTTGCAGTGGACTGTAAATTAATTGCAGCTGCTCCTCTCACTTTTTTTGCATTTGAAATTGAGAAAAATTGCTTTTTTTAATGCAAATCCCAGGTGTGTTTATTGGGTAAATTCCTAACTGTTTATTAAGTTCCAATACTTTGGACAAAATCTATCAGAAAAATGCAGTTAACAAGTTTTCCAGTTTGTGGGAGTTTCAGTTGCAACACAGTTTTGTTTGCAAGCCAGATAATTATCTGTTATTTCAGCAGGAAATCTGCAGGCATTGAATGTTGCCCAAAATTTGCAAAACAAAAATGAGTATTTAGTTTGCCGGTGCTTTCTCTGACAATTGCACTACTTCTAACTGGTCAGGCTAATACATGGCAATAGTTACTTGTTTGCTGAAAGCTTTAACTTCCTGTGTAATATATTTAGTTTGGTAAGAAATTAAACTATGGAAATTTTCTTGTATAGTATTTGCTTCAATGTTTATGCAGTATTTTTGAGGTGTTATTCAGTGTGCCTCACCCGATAATGTTAGAGCTGACATTCCTAGCGGATGTGCAAAGCTGCCTCAAAATGATTGCCACTTTGGTGAGGCAAATTCAGGAGTTTGAAAGAAGGAATGTGAAGTCAGACTCGTACTTGGTTATCTGCAGCCATTTTTCCTAAATGATGTGTGTACCTGACTTCTGAGCTAAGCACAGTTCTTGCATATATAGCTCTTATTTATTAGTGACTTCCCATACCACTATTAACCAAACTGAAAGTTAAAATCGGCAAGAAATAAATTGCAGGTGATGTTGCCCCCAGGAAAGGATAAGTTTTTGATATTTGCACTGACTTTGACTTTGAGTGTTTGGGTGCATATTTTAAAAGTTTGTGCCTTTTCCTGTGCAGTGCTTCATCTTGTCAACACATTTTTTAGTTACTTAGTAATATTGCTTAGCTTTATTATTATTTGTCGTTGTCTTTATTAGCAAAGTATAGCCTTCTCATGTTTAGAATTGATAAATGCCTTCTAAATGTTCGGTGTTCCGTTGGAGTGACAGGTGATTTGATTGCCATTGGTATGTCAATCTTATAGTTACGCAACCAGTATGGTAATTTATTCTCTTACTTTGCCTTTTTTGTCAAATAGAAATGTTTTAAAAATATTTAGTTTGAAATACAGTGAGGAGAAAAGCTTCTTTAAATGTTTACTGCTGTTATAATGTCTGCTACTGGTTCATTACAAAAGAGATCTGATGCATAAGAATTGCATTTAGCAAAACTACTGTTTAATATTTAAATATTGATCTCATTTTAAAGGGTCATTAGGCTTTAAATATGCAACCTTCAATGACGTTTTTGGAGTTCACTGCTGTTCATAAAATCTACAATTAACAAATCAGAAAATGTTAAGAATGTAAATTGTTGGGAACTTCAGTGATCTTGATTCTGGAGCCGTCAGGCAACTTTCTTTCCTCCCCCATTTTTAAACGAAAAATTAAAACATGAAATATTAAGGTAAAGTTCCTTAGTGAATGAACTTTTAAATTTAATATAATTTGAAATCAGCTAAGTTTTTATCTTGGAAGGAAACATCCTTAAGTTAGGCGTGATATTGGATATTGTATTTAAAGGTATTTTAATATAACCACCCCTTTTCAGGGTTGTTCTTACACACCTTTGGACCAGGTAGGAGTTGAACATAGGCCTCCTGGTGTAAAAGAAGGAGCGTTTTAACAGTGTCACAAGAGCCGTGCCGAAAGGTCCTCTATTTTCATCTTGAAGGCAACCAGGATGGGAACCCAGGCAGATGTATCCAAAAGCTAAACTATTTAATATTCAAAACCTGTGCTGTGTAAATGCTGTAAACAAATAAAGTGAATCATTGTCTATATTAAAATATTTCTTTAATTTTAGCTATTTGGAATTTGGGACTCTGGTTGACACCGTGGAGGAGGGGCGTGGTAGGCTAGCAGTAGGTGCAGGCTGGATAGAGAGAATCTGAAGGCTTTGGTGTTCATGGACTATTAACTTATGATTCAAAAATGATTTTCTTTAACTGATTTGTCCATAGTAACTTGCAATTTCAGCACTATTAAATATCAATAACATGTTAACCTATGAGCATGTGCTTATCCTTTTATGAAAAGTACTTCAAGCTAACTGATGCTGTCATATTATTTTTCAGGCAGATAAAAGAGCACACCACAATGCTTTGGAGCGCAAACGCAGGGATCACATCAAAGACAGCTTTCATAGTTTACGTGACTCTGTACCATCACTCCAGGGTGAAAAGGTTGGTGTTCTAGTTAAGTTCCACAGCTTTTTACTAAATTTTGTTTGTGTTTTGACATTTAGTAAAACTTTTGTTTTGTTAGATGCATGTGGAAAACACAGTTGGGAAATGTTTGAAGTTTTTATTTTGAATTGATGTGCCGCAAATTTGAGAGAAAATTGTCCATTTGGTTTTCTATGCTTTTTGTTTTCTAACTGTTACTCCAATTCTTTAACCAGTTCCTTAAGAATTGCTTCAGTGTAGACATTTGTGGTACTACATAAGAATATATTACCATGCTTACATCTGTCACTTAAGTGCTTAAGATAATTGTTATTTTTGTAAAATCTCTGACACTGGTATCTGTCTTACGGCTGATTTAAATGCACAACAATAGTAATTTTACTTTCAGGTTGTTAAGACAGATAATTGTGTCAAGGGTGGCAAAGTCTTTCGTGTGCCTTCTGTGTATTTGTCAATCAGGCTTTGAGTTCTCATGTGTTCCGTGGTCTGTAATGGGTGAGCTATTGTAAACTTCTTTTTTAGTTCCCATTTATCTGAAAGTTATCCAACTCTGCCTTGACCTACACACAAGTCCATGGGCTTTGTTGAAGATTGAAACCGGGAATCTTCTGCATGGAATCTGAGCGAGGCATTTGCTTGAAACTTTTTGTGAACTCCATCTAAATTTCATGGCGGATTGTCGAAATTAAAAGTGATCAAAAGAGCTGGTTAACTTCAGTGTTAAAGAAAACAGCGTTGGGATAGGGTGAAGGCATGAGGCTAATACAAATCTCAAACTACTTTCAAGTACTAAAGTGGACTGGGATATGTATAATAAGTATATCATATATTAATTCTTTACATTTATTTAATCTTCGTACAGTCCGGAGTGATTTTTTTTGGCAGGTCATGTAATTGCTTTCTCATGCAGGAATTCATCGGAGGTGTATTTGCAGGTTATTTAGGCACCAGATGTAATTATTAAGTAACAAATGATGGCTAAGCAAAATTCCCAGCATTTCAATTCAGAAATATGTTAAGCTTTCTGTACAAGCAACAAACATTTGAGCCTTTTGCATGCTTTGTTGTAGAATACCTTGCATTTGTTAGTGTTTCAAAACTTAGCGAAGAAGAGACCTACTGTTGACGGATGGTGAGTTTTTTTACGAAAAAAGGGGTGTAATTTTAGCCCCAGAAAATGGGGATGGTTCTTGTGTGGCTTAAAACGCTAAAAATCTGAATCAGGACTTGAACTCATCAATGTTGGGTTTTAACCAATATGGGTGAAGTGCAGGTGATCAAGCTACTCTTATGAGGTCAGTTGTTATCTTTTTAAGGAAGCTGTGGATTATTTTTGCAAGGTTTCTATTGTTGGCCACAACTTCCGAGCTTTGGGGAACATGCAGGTCAAGGAAGGTGAAAATGGCTAGATCCATTGGGTGTGTGACCTTACTGGGTAGGAAGGAATGAGTGCTTCCCAATGAATTATTCTGTCATCACCTCTATTATCCAATAGTTCCACCTGAATTAATATCGGGGTTGTCTTTGCTAGTAATGAGTTGACGGCCTCCAATTCTTTCAGATAACTGAATACTTACACATACTTTCTTTTGACATAGAAGTAATTCGTTATGTTAGACTGTTGTAATATGAGGTTGTTGACTTTCTTGCCAAGCTGGCTTGTTCTCGTTCAGACGTTTCATCGCCATGCTAGGTGACATCATCAGTGGAGCCTCAGATGAAGCGTTGTTATTCTACTCTGCTTGGAATTTTTACTGTCCGGTCTGTTATGGTGAGTAGTGTCATTTCTGGGTTTGTATATGGGGTCCAATTCTAAATGTTGATTGCATTACAGGTGGAGAACCATGCCTGTAGGAATTTCCGAGCATGTCTGTGTTTGGCTTAGGCTACTATGGTTACCTTGTGCCAGTTAAACTGATAGCCTTCATTTTCTGAGTGTACCGATATTAAGGAGAGTTTGTCATGCTGTTTTGCTGCTAGCTGATATTCATGTATTCTGATAGCTAGTTTTCTTCCTGTCTGTCCAATGTAATGTTTGTGGCAGTTGTTGCATGGTATTTTGTAAACCATGTTGGTTCTGCCTGTTGTGGGAATGGGGTCTGTAATCCTTGTAAGTGTTTGTCGTAGAGTGGCTGTCTGTTTGTGGGCTACCATGATTCCTAGTGATCTTAGGAGTCTTGTTGTCAGTTCCGATATGTTCATGATATAGGGCAGTGTGGCCAGTGTGTTAGTGCATACTGTGCCCTCTTGTTGTCTGTTTTGTAGGCATCTGTGGATGAAGTTGCAGGGATATCCGTTTAGAGCGAGGATTTTGTATAGATGTTCTTCCTCTTTCCTGCGCAGTTCCGGAGTGTTGCCTTGTGTCCTCACCCATTTTAAATAGGGTCCTAATGCAGCTTTGTTGTGGACATTTGGGTGGTTGCTGTGGAAATTGAGGATTTGATCAATGTGGGTTGCTTTTCTGTATATTGAGGTTTGGAACTCCCCATTGGTCATACGCTCAAATTTAACATCCAAAAACAGAAGTTGATTGTTGTTTTCTTCTTCCCTTGTGAATTTAATCCCTGCGAATGTGCTGTTGATGAACTGGTGGTCTCTTCTAAGTTATTGCGTTTAAAAATGACAAATGTGTCATCTATGTACCGGATCCACAGGATCAGAAACTAGCCATCAGAATACATGAACATCAACTAGCAGCAAAACGACATGACGAACTCTCCTTAATATCGGTACACTCAGAAAATGAAGGCCATCAGTTTAACTGGCACAAGGTAGTAGCCTAAGCCAAATGTAGACATGCACGGGAATTCCTACAGGCATGGTTCTCCACCCGTAATGCTATCAACACACGTGTAGAATTGGACCCCATATATAAACCCATATAGATCAAAACCAGAAAAGAGACTACCCACCATAACGGACAGTATAAATTCCAAGCAGAGTAGAATAACATCGCTTCATCGGAGATTCCACTGATGATGTCACTTAGCATGGTGACGAAATGTTTGAACGAGAACAAGCCAGCTCGGTGACCAAGTCAACAACCTCACCCACAACCCAAGCTACGGATCTTTGCCAAAACCTTAGACTATTGTAGTGTTTACAACAATGCAAGCAGATCAACCATTGTTCATGGCTAACTGGAGTCTGAAGCATTGTTATTATTTAGCTGCTCAATGACCTGTTTCTTTAAGATTGTTGGTCGAAAGAGACAAAACATTGGTAATGATAGCCTGTCACAAATTGTTGATGTTGCTGGCAGATCATGTGTGATTGTGAGTAACACTTGGGCTCCATATCATGAGTATATTTCTTTTGAAAATAAATACATGTAGATACATAATTTGAATGTCATTACAGTGATTGATTAATTTGAGAACCATTGTAATTTTGACATGCTAGAGAGAAGATTTGGTACCTAGCATTTGTAGAGTACCATGCATTGAAAAAATGTTACCTTTGTTTGATAATCTGTCAGATTACTGAAATAGCAAAGTTCTTTAACCTGTTTGAACTAATTTATTATCCTGCCCTAAAGTGGGCTATGTTGTTATCAGTTTTCATTGCAAAAGAACTCCTGATTTCAAGGGATCGAATTGATAGGGATGAAAGTATGGATGAATGGGGTTTAAGTTATGAAGAGCTACAAACCTTAGCAAATAAGTGAGTAAAGTTTCTCCTGTGATTGGAACCAAAATACTACAGCCATTGGTATATTCAGAAAACAAGATTTTCTTGTGGCGTTGGTGGTGACGTAATCAGCATATCTAGCTCAGTCTATCAAATGGAACTCCACTTTGTGGATCAATGGGAAAAGTCAAGGTCAGAGACATTGAATAGCAAGTGACGTCAGTCAGATATAATACTCAAAATGGAATCTGTCTGTGAATGTTTAGTGGTATATTTCTTTTAAGCAGCTTGATCTTAGTGCTCCATGTCACAATTCAGTCCATCTCCTCCTTTTATCTCAATTGGTCTTTCTTGGAAAGAATTTTGATATTTGAAGTTGTATCAAAATATTTTGAGTAGCATTCACTCAGTCTTTTGAAATAGAAGCTGTAGAGACTAAGGGATAAAATTGAAGGACTGAGGCCAGCCTATGGAATATAATTGAGACTGTGGATTCATTTATCCATTCACAGAAGTATCACCCTCTTGACCTAAATTTGTGTAATGTCTTAGTGCAGTAATATAAACCAAGGTGTTTCATGGGGGTTTAATAGGCCCTCTGCATTTTCAACAGCACCAATGTGATTTTTCCTTTTTGGAGGGACTTTCATATAGGGTTTCAGCAACTGAAGAGGGGAAGAACAGTTGAAGGGTAGGTCTAATATCATAGAGGGCAGGAAAGATCAATTGACGATGGTTTATGCAACAAAAGCTATAAAAGTTATGGTAATAGGACAGGTTAAGGATCAAAAGCTGTGTCGGCAGAATGTGTAGATGGTTGCACAGTAATCATCCAGATGCAAAGTGAAGGAATAAAGAATGAAAAATACACCACAAATATAAACAAGATGGAAAAAGAGGTTATGATCTGAAATT